ACACACACACACACACACACACACACACACACACACACACACACACACATATTCTCTCTAAATGAATAGGTAAATGAAGAATGAATAAACAAACAAATAAATGTAATTCAAAAAGAAAATAGGGTCTAGAGAGACCGCTCGTTGGTTACGAGCTTTCCGAGAGGGACCTGGACTTAGATCCCAGCATTGTACATGGTGGTACACAGCAATCTGTAACTCCTATTTGCAGGTGATATAAAACATTATCCTGGACTCTGGGCACTGGCATGCACGTAGTGACATAGGTACACAGAGGCACTCAAACATGTAAACTACATCACATCACTTTTAAGTTCTAGGATGAACTTAAGTTAAGTTCTCACTGATACACTTGTTCATCATTGTTGTAATTAGTGTGTATAATGGAGCCATTAAAACAGATGAAGGGTATGAACCAGTTCTTGTGTCTGTGTGTTATGTGTGTTATGTGGAATGCTAAATTCTGCTTTGGACAAAGGTTACAGAAACTATTAGACTTAAGTTTCCAAGTTGTTTTAACTTTGTTACTTGTCAGTAGAGACAGAGTCATCTGTGCTGATCCTGTAATTACTTGGATGCTTTAGTATGACCATGTTGTGTAAAAAGTAACAGAAGAAAAGAAGGTACTTTGGCAGCTAGAGAGTGTAACTCAGTAGATCCAGATGCCGTCTTTACCAAGAAAGTAGAGAAAAACGGAAGTACCATGTATGTAAAGAATGAACAATTTTGTATTGCGTACAAAAATATGTTTCTGTAAACTGTTGGTTTTTCTTCTCTTTAGGCTTCTCATTTCTTCTGGGGACTCTGGGCTTTGATACAAGCTAAGTACTCCACGATCGAGTTCGATTTCCTGGGGTAAGATGCCGTTGACTGAGGTACTGTCTCCACGAGGCTACACTAGTGTAGACATGACAGGGCATCCCTCACTGCAGCGTTGTGAGGCTGTGTCCACTCAGACGCCTGCTCAGCATGGGGAGTGGCCAGTGGGGCAGCAAGCGAGGCGTGCGCTTTGGCATCGCAAACTTTGGAGCAGTCAGCTCAGGGTGAGAGGAAGCAGCTGCAGGACTGAGGTCAGATCTGACTCTGCCTTGTTCTTCCCCCCCAGGTATGCGATTGTCCGCTTTAACCAGTACTTTAAAATGAAGCCCGAGGTCACAGCACTAAAAATGCCGGAGTAAAGAAGAGGCCTTGCTGTTCTCCAGGAGCTGAGCGATGCTTGTGGGTGTGTCTGAGAAATTCCAAAAGCCAATATCTGTTAAAACTCATTTAATTTGGTTATCTTGCTTTAAAATGATGCCTCGAAACAACCAACCTATTTTTAAATAGAGTGATGTTAAGACTGTGGTTACTACTGTCGTATGTGGCGGGCTGAAGATCTGACCCTCAGCAGAGAGTAGAGTCGGGCTTTAGCCTGTGGCAGTACAGCCATGTTACATGTGAATTATTTATTACACTTTTGACACGACTGACTACTTTGATCTTTCGTTTGTTCAGTGTATTGCAATGAGAATATTGTGGAAATCTTTAAAAGGTTTTGTTGATAGATTTAATTTCAGAAAAACATTTCTTGTTCAGTGTAACCTTTGTGAAATGAATCATTTACTCTCAGTCTTGGCAGTCACTGCCTCAGTAGTAACTTAGGGTGTTCTAGGGAAGGGCCCGTCGAAGAGGGAGGGAGCAGGGCAGTTTACTGTCTCCTGGGGTATACTCTTTTGAATTGGAAATTGGAAATCATTTCTTTTGGGGGAGTACAACTTAGAATTAAATTGTCTGTTTACATAGCCTGACAATATAAAATATATTTACTGTATAAGCCTGGAATATAACAATTTAATGTTAAAAACTGTTATTAAGTCTTGTTTTCAAATACTAGATATGGTCATTTAAGGTAATAGTCCCAATTTTTAGAATTTACCTATCAAATTGTTTCTAACCAGAAGTTTTGTTTTACTTGAGATAGTCTGTTTTTGTTCATTAAATAATAGCTGGTGTTGTTAGTATTTGAAACAGACATACAGAGTTCATCATACTCAGAAGCAAGGAATGTCATTTAGATGCTTTCTATTTAGATTCATTCCTTAAGTTGGTTTTGTGTCTATAGAGTCAGCAAATGATGAGTCATCTATGTAATTCCAGAGTCATTGAAGCAATTAGAGTCGTAAGAAGCAGTTAGCTAGGTCATGGAGCTGGAGCACTTACGGTCTAACAAGTGAGGAGACGGGAATTAGACAGTCCTTGGGGTAGGAGGGCTTGTTTTGTTTTATCTTGGTTTTGTCAGTCTGGTTTTTATTTTATGTAGGTGTAGAGGGAGGCAACTATTTCATGAAAGGACATTAGGTCTTTGAGGTAGACAAGGCTTTAATCTTTGAAGACTGCTCTGTGGGCTTGAGCAGTCAGGGGTAACTTTCCTTAGACTAGTCAGACAGGCTTTGCACTTTGGTCCCATAAGTGCTTATGTACAAAGTTGGCTCCATGGATCTGCATATTAAAGTATGCACTCCAGATCTAGTCTAGGATTGTCTGGTGATGTTCCACATGACTTATGTTCTTAGCCTAGTGCTTTAAAATACTTGGATTGTCTCAAGGTGTTCAAACCTAATAAAGTAGAAACAGGCCATTTGAGATGGTAAATTCTAGCCACATACATAGACTCTTAAAAACATGTCTCTAACAGTGTTAGACCTGGATTCGGTTTCTACCTCCCCAGTGCTGTAATGTTCATATTTGTTCTTATGAGCCACATTACTGTAAGATCATTACAATTCTGCCGACTTCTGTGAATGGAAACGATAATGACAAACTCTTTACCATGGTAAAGAAAACCTGCAAAAAACTGGCTTAGTGGGATTCTCATTCATGTTTGGAACATTGTCCTAGGATGATAAAGATGTGAGCCTCCCGATTCTTTGCTTTCCTCCTTTAAATCCAAGAGTATGTGTCACGTGGAAGCCCTGGAGAAGACAGTGTTGGCTAGTCTGTTCCCGTTCTTGAGTGCTTTGAGTGGAGGCTCACTGTGCTGCTGCGGCTATGGCTGGTGGACTGCAAAGCAGCCAGCTGAAGTGTGACAGACTCCTGTGGCAGTGAGTGCCATGGCAACGGATGAGGCTTCCTTGTTCACTCTGCTAGCACACAAGAGATCGTGGAAAGACTAGCACATGAAACTCTTGCCCCCATTCCTTAGCCAGATTTGGGTGCTCTGATGCACCTGCTTCTCATACAGCTTTTGGGGATCATGGTGTAGAGTATCAAAAGGATTCAAAATGTCTTTCTTTGTATTGACCATGCAAGGGATTCTAAAGAGGGTATATTGGGACTGTTCTGAAGCGCATCCCTGTAAGATGTGTCCTGTGGCTTGCTAGATATCAGTTGCCTTCTCTTGTTCAGCTAAGGAACTTGAATGCCTTACCTAACTACTCAGCTGGTAGTCAGCTCGTTTTCTACATGTGAAAGTGGATGTTAGAAGTGGCATTCATGGGTGTTCAGTGTAACCGTAGACCGTAGTGGCCTGGATGCTTGAACAAGCAAACGTCTGCATTTCTGCCCTCTCCCTACCCATCCTGTCTCCCTGGCACACTGTATGAGCTTGAATCTGACCAGTGATATTTGATACCCTTCCTCTCCCCTGTGCTACCACCATTTCTGGAAATGAGATGTGGTGGCCACGTCTTGCTGTTGCCATGATCTGCCCGAGATGAACCTTGAGCACAAACCTCATCACCTAGGTCTGCTTGGAGTGTAAATAGGACAGTGTAAATAAGCTGCTGTAGTTAGTGTGAGTGTGTCTTGCGTAAAGAGGGTGTCGTTCTGCCTTTTTCTTTGTAGAAGTTTTTCTGTCACTAAATGATCCAGCCTGTTGATGTTAGGCTGGGAACAGTGCAGTGAGATAGCAGGAACTGGAAGGAAGATTTAATGGTTTAGTTAACGTTGGGATTTATTTATTTAGCCTCTCAGTGCCTAATAAGACTTTTCTCCATTTTTACTTGGCTATTAATTTTTTGTAGGTTAGATTCTGGGAAGCAGTACATTTATAGAGCTCATCTTTGAGTCACGATCTGAAGCTGAAGGAAACGAAAAATGTAATTTGTTTGTAAACTGAAGTCTGGTCCCCTTTTCTATTTTCAGAGTTCGTTGACATTTTTCTACAAAAACTTGAAATTCAATGTGAATGTAAATCTCACCCCATACAAGACAGGGCACACGGCATCTCTTGAGTTTGTCAGGCACCTTTTCTGGGGTGGTTCAGTATGGGCCAGCTATTTTTCCCTCCCTGACCCCCAGATGTTTATTTTAACTTTGTGTTACTAACATTAAATTTAGACTTAAAAGAATTCTCCCAAACACGTGAAAGAAAAGTTAGTCTCTTTGAAAAGTCCTCAGTTGTTTCTGTGTTCCAAAGAGGCCCCTGTACCTCTTGTGACCTCACCGGCTGGCTTATGGAGTCAGGTGGGGTTTTATTTTTTTTTTTCCTCTCTAACTTGCATTTTATACTGCATTCCAGAGTACTGTAGACTTAAGTATTTCCCGATTAATCTGTCACCTGTCAACAGTGCTTTGTCCTGGGGCTGTCCTAGGGCAGGCAGCAGCATGTGCTACCTCACAGGGAAGGTGCACACAGGTGGACAGCCTCTTGAGAGTGTCTTTGGCTTCAGGTGCTGTTGATTTTCCTCTGTCAGTTTATAGGTTGGCCTTTACTGTGAAGCCAAGCTGCATCTTCTGGCCTGTTCCTGTTCCGAGAAGCAGAGAAGGTGGTGAGCTGCCTTCCCCCCAGTGACAGCAGTGTTCAGTCTTGGGTTTGACAAGTGCTATCAGCTGCTCCAGACAGAACATCCCCAGTTTTGGAATTACAGTTCATATTTCTATAAATGAAAATATTGGAGGTTTTTGCATTACTTTGAATTCTTGAAGGTTAAATTCAGTGATACTTTACAAAATGAGTTAGATTTGACAGTTTTTATGCTGAAAATGTTCATTTTTGGCTCAGTTTGATACAGGAAGAAACCCCAAAGTCTTTGGATTAGGAACAAATAATGATGCTTGGTTGATAAGCACTTTAACTCCTGTGTTGGCGGCAGCGTCTCTGGGACTGGGCACTGTGGTACCACAACATGTCTTTGTCCAGTGTGCATTGTATGCTGTATGTACTTGCAAAAACACTCTTAAAAGTAGTTATAATTTATCTTTCAGTTGTCGTACCCATGGTAGTCCTTTAGATCCCATCAGTAAGTTTTAATAAAACACTAGATAGTTAAAGAACCAAAAACACCACATTGTCTTTGGACTGGTTTGTGGAGGTGGAGCAGGAAAGCCTCTCCAACTGGAGCTCCAGGCTTCCTAGCCAGAAACAGAGCTAGGTTGAAACCCAATGACACCTGCAGGGCACTGGAGGGCAGAGTACCAGTTCTCCACGCCTGCACTGGGGCGTGCTGCTGTTTGTTGTAGGTAGTGACATACTGAGTGTTCCTTGTTAGTAATCTGAAGTCGTCCTCTGTATTTACATGTACTAAAGTAACTGTAAACTAATGGAACCCGTAAGAACTTTTCTGTATTTAGGAGCTTTTGTAGAGCAAGGTCACATGTCCTGATTGAACAAAGACATGGTAATACCCATATGCAAGGGAAAAGCTGAAATGAGGAGCTGTCATTGCATTAGCTGTCTGTTGAATCGGGAAGCTGTGGCATGGGATCTTAAATTTGTGTTTCCCAAATGTGAATTGTAGTCTAATGCTGCTTTGTGTAGACTCTAAGTGCTATGGGTAGTCTCAGCACTGAACATGGATTGATACCTCGCAGAGGACCGCAGCCTTTGTCCTACGTTTCCCTACTCCTCAGCAAGTGTCTGCGTTCTGGAGAACTTGCTTATCTGTTTGCTAGCAGAGATACTTCCTGCTTTTTCCTTTGTTGTTACATATTTTATGTTTGGAATTTAATTTTTACTACTGTTAATTTAAGTATAATTTGTTCCATGTATAAAATGGCGTTGCCAGTAAAAATCAACAGCCTCTTTCACGTAGCTGCTGAAGTGAAGTACATTTGTGTTCTGTGTTCATGAACTTGCAGTGAAGCCGTGTTTCTTTTACAGAAAGGGCGGCTCAGGCTTTATTTCTGTTTAATAAGGCTTTCTACCATTGATTAAATGAAGGAATGTATCTTTTTGAAGAGATTTATATTCTGTAAATAAACATTGGTTGTAACAATAAAGTTGAGTTCTAACTATAATGTGTCCATGTTGTTCATACTCAATTAAGACCGTCGACTTTTGTAGGATATATGGAAATATACAACCTGAAAGGGTTGGAGTCAGAGTGTTTGCCTAGCAAGGGTAGTCAGTGTCTTAGGTTTGATCCCTAAACCAAGAGAAGAAACAAAGGTTCTCTAGAGTTAGTAATGAGGGCTGGAGCGGAGTCCCCAGTAATTATGAGGACTGAAATTTGTATCCCAGCGCCTACGTAGCAAGTTAGGTGCTCCCCACACGCCTGGAACCCCAGCTCTAGGGGCATGGACATAAATGATCATTGGGGCTTTCTGGCCCCCAGCCTAACCTAGAAGATAGGAGCCCAGGTTGAAGCATGCTAGGGCACCAAATTTCTCTAGCTTGCTCATATGTTTCCACATTTGCATTTATGTTAATTACTGATTGATTGGGACAGCCTTGCCTGTCCTGGAACTTGATTAGTAGATCAGGTTGGCCTTGAACTCAGATCCACCTGCCTCTGCCTCCTGAGTGCTAGGATTAAAGACATCCTCTACCCCAGTAGGCTGACAGCATTTCAATCATAGAAAGTGAGCATAGGAAGTAGGATAAGGCCATATACATTTTCAAAGTCTACTTGGTGACATACTTCCAGCAAGGCCTTACCTCCTAAACACTCTTAAACCTCTCCAGATAGCTCCCCAGCTGGACCAAGTGTTCAGATACATGAGCTTGTGGCGGGACACAACCCATTCAAACTGCCACATTCTTTCTGGTTTTGCAGTATGGTGTGAAAACGTTTTGAAAATCTCTATTCTACCAACTGAGTCACACCTCCCAGGCTTCTCATGCTTCTCATCACCCCTATCAGGCTAATTCTTCCCGAACTCCATGGGAGATTTCTCCTTGAGAAAGTCTTTCTGCTTAGCCAATTGTGCCTCCACGGCCTTTTCCTTACCTCGACGCACAGCCTCATGGACACTTCTTGTCAATGTACTTAACTCATCATTCCTTTGCTTTAGGAAACTGTCTCTGCGTGCCCATGCTCCCTAGCAAGGTAGACGTTATTTATTTCTCCAGTCTCAACAATATTGTAGTACTATAGGTACATGATGAACTTTCATTTCCCACACAAAAGTGTCAAGAAGTAGAGAAACATTTTCCAGGAAAACACTAGAGAGGTAGGATTTGTTATTTCACGAAAGCTAAACCTCTGAGCAAGAATGTTGAGGTTAATTTGTCCAAGTCAGTGTGATGCCTACAAGGAGAAAACCTACAGTTGAAATGAATTGAATTCTACCATGTTCTTTCCCTCCCATTGTGATTTATCTTGGTATCGTTTAAGCCTGAACTGAGAGAAATATATTTTTTTAACTGCAGTTAATTTCTCAAAGATGACCAGAATTCAGTATTCATAGATTCTGGTATCTATCCCAACACTTGAAGTCCTACTAGTTTGTGTGTGTGTGTGTTTGTATGTGTGTGATGTGTGTAGGTTGATGCATGTACCACTGTACCTGTGTGGGGGTCAGAAGACAGTTGTGTAGTCAGTTCTTTACATAGATACATAATATTTTAATGAGACTGTCCCCCCTCCCCCCCCCTCCGCTTCAGATGTTGGAATAAATGGTCCTTGCTTGTGGCATTGTTTGGGTATGTTTAGGAGCTGTGGCCTTGTTGGAGGAGGAATGTCACTGAAGGTGGGCTTTGATGTTTAAAAAGCACACTATTCTCAGTGCTTGCTCTCTGCTTTTTTTGCTCATGGTTCAAGATGTCAGCTCCTCAGATTCCTGCTTCAGAATCTATGCCTTCTTTCCTAATGGCACCATACACCCAAATAAATTTTGTTCCATAAGTTGTCTGGTCATGGTGCTTCACAGCTGTGAACGATGCACGTGGTTTACAGAGATCAAGTCCAAGTTACTAGACTTACACAGTAACCTGCCACTTTAACCTACCCAGATCTGAGAAGGTGTCTATGTAGCCCTGGCTGGCCAAGAAGTCTTTATATAAACCTGACATCCAACTCACAGAGATCACACTATCTCTGCCTCCTAAACACTGGGACTAAAGGTGTGTGCCAGTGTGCACAGTTCAGCCTCGTCTTTAAAAGGAGTGTCTATAACAGAGAAAGAAGTAGCAGATGACCTTTGCCACCCTCTCGAAAGGAATTGCAGCTAAAATCTGCAATTAGTTTTCTTGTAATATTTTATAGAACTCAGGAAAACCCAAAGCAGATATTACTTACACTAGAACCCTATTTGTGAAAGATAATGATACCTGTTGGTAATGACTTGTATAGGCAAGAATCTTTTTAACAAAGACTTGGCACTTGCACTGGAGTATCACCTTTGATACAACCTGTATTTTGTCACTTCTGTTACTATGATAAAGTACCCTGACAAAAGCAACTTACGAAAGGGTGTATTCTGACCCACAGTTGGAGGGAATAGTTCATGACAATGACACCAAAGTGTTAGCAGCTGAGGCAGCTGGTCACGTGGCATCTGTAGTCAAGGAGCAGAGATAAAACACTTACCATTGGCTCATTTCCTTTCCATACCCAAGATTCCATCCTAAGGAATGATGATGCCATCCATGGTGACTGGGTCTTCCCAACTTAACCTAACGGAGCTAATTCCCTATAGATACACCCAGAGGCGATTCTAAATCTCACAAAGTTGACAGCTGAGGTTAACTGACAGCCTACAATTGCTTTTGACACAGTTGGTATTTGTCTTGAATAATGTAAATTCTGCATAAGACTATGAATCAATATCACACACCCGTCTCATACTAAGATCTCTCTAGTTGGTTTTCGCAACAATTTGTACTGTGAATCTTAATAGCTGAAAAATTAATCCTTTTTACAAAAATACTATATTTAGTAGTTAGTTGATGAATACTATTTCAATCTTCACACCACGCTGAAGATGCTAATTCAAACTGCTCTCTTTTCCTCGTTTTGTAACACTAGGAGAGAATTTGAAACGTTAGTGTGCTCCTTGAATATTTCTTCCTGCGTGGTGGCAGAAGGCTGTGTAGGCCTTGAAAAAGGCTGTCTTGCTGATGTCCCTAACAAAAGCCAAAAGCTATCCTACTCAAAGATTTCTGAGTTCCAACTTTGAAATCTGACAGAATTGAACAAGAAGGAAAATGCTAAATACTTGACAGTGTTTGCTGGTGCTCACTCCCTTATCAGAACAGAATCCTGTTGTCTTCAGTTGTCCCAAGTGTTGACAGCTATATTTCATTTATCTTTTGAAATAAAGATGAAACATAAGGTCAGTGTTTTGGGCAGATCTCCAGAGTCTGAAGACATCACTATGGCAGTCTGTCTACACATCTGGGTTTATCCAGCTCTGGGCATATTCTCCCTCCCACCTACCTCACTAAGAACTCTGTAAGACCTCCCGACTGGAGACTTCTTTACTTCTGTTTCCCTCCTCTGACCTTCAGTAGGAATCCTGGACTCCAATGTGTCACCTTGGGCTCTCCTGCCAGCATCTGTAACAAGTGACCTCTCACCAATCATTCGCCACCATCTAGAAAACAGGTTTGGATGTACCCAGTGTCTGTCCTACTTCTATGATGGCAGCTGACCTGCTAATGACATGGTTTCCCTCCCC